GATAAGTCGAAAAGCGCTCGCAAAATTACCCCATTCAACTAGACGAGGCAACTAAACTGACGGCTGTACGGGTGTTGTATTGCTTGCATGGCTTGGCTACTGTAACTGCGCCTGCGCCTGCGCTATTCCTCTGCGCGCCGTAGCTGGTGCAGTGTTGTTGTTGTTGTTGCAATTGCATGCTTTATGTGTGGCATTGCGACATTTCTGTGTGTACCCGACCGACCACAGTGGCCACGCATACCGGCGTGTAATCATCGTGTACATCTGGTTGTATTACAAATAGCTGTGTGTGAATTGCAAAAAAAAAAAAACAACTGCAACATTTTGCAATGATGTGTTGCTGCTGCTGTTGGTTGCCACCACTGCTGCAATACACGCGGCGTTTATATGAAAAATTAGAAAAAAATATACCCAGGATTGTTGGTGGTGGTGTGAATTACGAACGTTGATCGGCTGAAATTGCCCACTTTATACTACTCTTCTGCATGAATTTAGTTGTGTTGTTGTTGCTTTTGCTGTTTAGCTGAGATGGCTTTGGCGTCGGCGGTCTCGCTAATACCTGTTAATATTTGCCATTTAAGTGTGATCCTCAAGCACGAAATCAACATTTGCTAACTTTGCCTCTGGCCGTCTCAGAGACTTCATATATATACTTGGTAAGCGAGCGCTTCACAGTTGGCTAGTCTAATTTATTATGCGCAAAGATGTTTACTGGACGCACACGTCCACCTTCGGTTAAACACACACCTACACATGTACATACATAGAGTGTAGAAGAGTTGACGGAGTGTGACTTGGCAATGGTTGGTTGATGCTTCTGATGAACGTTGAACGTTGCTTATACATGTTTTGGCATTCAATATTAAAAGTACAATAGACAAGTTAGTTTTATATAATATTTTAATTATTGCATACATTTACTTCGGATTGGAATTTTAATTGACCTGTAATTACTTGGTTTTAGTAAAGCAGCTTTGCGCGTAGAGATTGATGCGCTTAATCGCCTTGGAGTGTCATGATTTTTCATTCATTCATTCGCAAATGTTGGGAATATGATTCTAATCATGATAAAAGCATAGCAAGGTATAACCGTTCTCTCAATTTGTCGGCCATGATTTTTTTTTGAAGTTTGCCAACATTTTAAAATCATATAAAAGTGAAAATAAAAAATTGAAATTGTTCGAAATTGTTGTTGCTTGAGATTGAAAATGAAATTGTGTGTGTGAGTTTGTGAGTAAATTTAAAAATTAAATTGTTTGGAAACGTCAAGAATTTTAAAAGTGTCTCTCAGCGGTTATACCTTACTATATTTTTATCATGATTCTAATAATGCAAACCACATTCCATGTTGTTGTTTTTTTTTTCATACCTAAGCTCACTTGTGCAATATATGTATACATATAAGTACTTATTTCCTACTTACAATTTTGGTAAAACGATGGATGTAATTAAGTAACTTAACAACTTTTTTAAAATTTTTATTGTAATAATTTAAATGGCAAATTCTATTTGTCGAACATAATTACTTTGTATGCAAGAAACTCTGTGAAAAAATTTGCCAAAAATCAATTTCAAACTTGCACTTTGTTATACTAAAATCGACTGCATACTTAGAATTCCTCTAAAAAATCTGATTATAAAGTTGGAATTTAGTACGCAAATTTATAAATTTTCCTGAGTTTTGAGAACTATATTTTTATAAAAATTAGCGAAAATAAATTATAAGAAAAAATTTTCCATACATTGCGAAAAGTTCTCTGTACCATTAATTTTGTCCAGCACTGTATATGGCGGTTGTTAAATAATAAGCTAGACTTTTATATAAAATTAAAGAACATTAATCAATGGAAACAAGAAAAGTCAAAATTAGTCAAAATGTCGCACCGCTATTATTTCGCACATAGGTGTAGGTGGTGCAAACTGCGTGGTTGTGACTTTAAATCGCACCGAGATTTGTCAAATGATCGTAGAGAACTTTACCGGCAGAGCTGATAGACGATTTGACATTTTCCACCACAAACGACGCCACACAGTGGGACGTCCCCGTATAAACTGCGGCCAAAAGTAGTAAGTTGTTGAAATTTCGTATATGCGCTACTCGGCACTTAGGAATGAAGAAGTGTGAAAAATGGCAAAATTCGACGCGCCCAACACCTCTTATGGGCGGAAATAGTAAATATTATCCGATTTTAATGAAATTCAGAGCATATTCTGGCTTAAACCAGAAGATCATACATGTGAAAGAACGTCAAAATCAGTTTACATTATCGCGTCCACTAATTGTAGAAAAGCAGTAGGTCCCTCCACTTTGTGTGACAACATCAACCAGGCGCACGCGACAAATCAGAGGAGAAGCTCGGCCAAACACTAACTTATGTGCAAGCGCCAATCTATTATTATGATTATTATTAAATACAATTTTACTCTTCATAGAATTAAATATTTTAGTTAGCGATGTTTTGTTTTCCTTGGAATCGTAAAAATAAATTAATAAGTAGAAAATATTACAGTGGCTTGGAAATCTCGCTTTCAATCGGTCTAAATATTGACGTTGATAGATAACTCATACGCCATGGCATATGTGGGAGGGGACGGAAATGAGGTTTTTGACATTTTTTTATGCGATGTGATGACCATCAGAATAGGCTGGCCGAAGATACTATTTCATCTATTTATAATATTACTAATGTGTTGTCAAAAAGGCCAGCCCGTCTAAAGTATGTTGACTTATACTTGCAACAATGCACTTTCAACATGCGCTGGCAGTACTTTAAGACCATTGGAAAACGCGTGGTTAAGACCGCTGTTCCGCAGCTAGCCTTCCGGAACTCGATTTACATAAGTATATATCAATACGCCAAGGTAAAAAAAAAATTAATCGATCTGAAGTATGCTTTTTGGTCATGAGCTCTTGGTCTATATG